TTGCAGATTATACTTTGCATTCGCAGTTCCCTATAATGATGTATCTTAAGATTTGGTATGTCGCTCTACTGTCACTTTTTGGATACTTTAGGCTTATTAGACAGGGACCTACAGTTTAATTTGGATTCTGAACGACTCACAAACATTCATGCCACCGCCAGGATTCGAACCTGAAACCTGTGGTACCAAAGGATGCATTTTAAGAACTTAACTAAACGATGTTTAATAGATTTATATGGAATGCATGTTGAAAACTAAAAATTAATTTTTTTTTCCCTCCATCAAATTTTACTTGTGTACAAACTTTGCCCAAAAAATCATTTCTGGACATATTATGTACTAAAGGAGATACAGAAATAATTAAACACAAATTTCAGAGAAACCTAAAAGATAATGTAACTTAGTTCCAAATCAAACGGCTTTAAAGTAATAATAATTCATTACACGCATAACGTGCGTGTATTAAAACGCTTCCTTTATCACATGAGCGATGTATGGCAATAGGGAATCACAATTATGTCGTAATGGCAAATACGCCAATTTGCCATTATAATGGGCTCACGTGAGGTAACCACTTAGTATTCACGTGATGGTCATGACAATGACAAAGATTTCGAACAATGAATTGAAGTGAAGAAGATGCATTCTAAGATTTATCTCATTATTATTTAGATTAGATTACAAAAGTTCTAATTAATCTAATTTTCTAATTATCTTCTATTAATCTTCTAATTATTAAACTTCAGAAATTGCCAAGTAGTCAACAAGCAAAATCAAAGTCCACAAGTAAACAACAACAACAGTGTTGCCAAACCAAAAGTGATGCCGTGATTTTAAATTTTAATGAATTGATGGGTTAAATTAGAAAAAAATGTAAGCAATGCACGGTGTCGACTTGGAAAAGAGAAGGTTTTAATTAATAAAAATAATTTAATGTTCAATAGGTTGTAATACGAATATTTAAAATGCATCCAGTACGACACAAACAATTTCTTTTTAAAAACTATCAAAATATCTCCTAAATAATTACATTAACAATGTAAACATTTGATGCTTAAATTACTTGTTGTCACGATAATGAAGGTAAAGCGTATCCATGGTAACTAGTTAATTGGTCTATTTACCATCTTTACTAATGGATTTAGAAGTATTTGAGAAATAAATTCAGTGATTTTTATTAAACTCATATTTATAAAAACAGTTTTTCCAAAACAACTTTGTTTACGACTTTAAAAGCGTAGCATTTGCACTAACTTAAACGATAATTCTCGCACTGTAAATTTGTTTACAGAAAATACATATATCCTATAAAAATAATAGCACCAAATTAATAAGAATAGCTGAAAATAGGCAAAAGAAAATTATACATTTTAAGCAGAAATATGCTATATTTATATATTAAATCTTATTTTTTTCAAAAACAGAATGGGATTCTATATCTTCGTTTATTTCAGTCTTGAAAAAAGCCTAACTCATGACCCTTCAACATTCATCGGTGGGCTGTTAATTGGATACGTAAGTGGTACATGAGGATGTTTTCAACAAAAAAGGGCTGAGAAATGTCTCTCAACACTTATTTGATATACTGCTAAAGCAGTCACTGTCTTTGCTACTGGTTGTATTATTGAAGAATGCAATTGAATTAACTCCTTAACATTAATTACCAGAATTCTGGAAAAATAAAAATTATTTTTGTAAAATATTCAGAAGTCTAATTTTAAAATCGACTCCAGACTTCTTTCAAAATGGCCAATTGGTTAGCGTTCTAGCCTTTGGAATCCTGGTTTAGAATCCTGGATGTGGTGGATGTTTGCGAATGGTTCGGAATCCAATTAAACATTAGGTCCCAGTCTAATTAGCATAAAGTGTGCACAAAAATGACCGTAGAGCGACAAACTAAACCTTCCAAAATGCTCAAATGCCGATTCTTTGTTTCCAACTCAATTAAAAAAAAGATCATTTTTATTATACAAATTGCAAGCTTGTATTTACTGTCATCATAAAACAAAACAACAACAAAAAAAAAGAAATTTTGTATTATTTTACAGTGACATTAACGGATCATTGTAACTGCTCATTTCGTTAATTAATACCACCTCCTGCAGCGCCCTCTTTATACTGACTGTACTTTCTCAGTAGTAGCCAAGAACAGCTTTTTCGTGTGCAACTTAAAAAACAATAATTGTTACATAACTTGGACCCATTATAATTAATCCTATTTCCTCCTTTTACAAATCGTAATTAATTCTACATTTAAAGAATATTATTATAATGTGTTTATTAAGAGTTTTCATAACTGTTAAAAATGTTGAGGATTCATTTTTTGCCACATTGTAAACTTATAATAATCTGCAAAATATAAAGTATTTGAAATAATGTTTAAGATAAATATTAATACTAAGTTTTCATCTGTTAATTTTAAGTCATATATTCCGTGAGATCAGATTGCATTCCGAAACAAAATGATAAATCGGAACTGCGTCAGCTAGAATTTTGTTTGCTTAGCAACTCCCACTGAAGTTCTTTTTTTTTTTGTTTAGTCTACGTTGTGGACTACTGGACACTGTTTAAGTTTTGCTCTTATGCATAATTAACTCTATTTTTCGCTTTCACATCATTAAATCAGCTTGGCTTGGCATAGTCTCAGTTAAATAAACGCATGCACAATAAGATAAAATTTGAAAATTTACATTGTGCATAGCGATACAACAGTGGTTCTCAAAGGGTGCGCCCTCTGCGCGCTATTTCGAGGTGTGCCCTATGGTATTCTTCAGAAACATGTGTCCACATATAAAAATATAGTTATTCTTTTTCTTGTCAGTTTTCCCGTGGAAAGGGAGCTTTCATCACAAAGAAATAATCTTTCCGATTGCTTTTTTTTCCCCCTTCTTTTATTCAAAAAAAAAAGTGCCAAATAGCTATAATGCACCAAAAGATGTGTTAGCGATAACTTTCACGGTTAGTTACTAGAAGTGTTAGCGTCTATGTTATCTTCATTGTTAAAGAAATGTCCATTGTCACCTATGAGACTCCATGGCCTGTGAGCTATGGAGTCGATCATTTAATATTAAATGAAGAAAAACTAGTAGTTATTTCCAATCATCGTGGTTTGAGGATTAAATATAGGAAAATTGCATTTTGAAAACCTTCAAAAGAAGAATGCGAGTCAACATCTAAAAAAAAAAACATAATATAAATAACAATTTCAAAAAAGTTTTGCAAATTTTAATGCAAAATTCGCAAGTGTAGAATCAAAAGCGCTAACTTCAACTACGAGCCTGGTTTGTTCTGCTATCAACAATCAACTGTGTGTATCTAGGGATAGTCACTGAGGTTACTTCAAGTGAAACATAGAACCTGTTATATTAGAAATATGTTCCAAATTGCGCGCGCATCATGAGTTCGCAGAATATAATTTAATTATTCTGTGAACTCGTAAATGAAACAGGCAGTATCTGTCATATACTCGCAAGAATATTGATTAAAAATCAAAGTTAATTTTTTCTCATCATTTCGACAGTTAATTTTTAAATATAGATGGATGCACACGCAATGTATTTTTTTAATACGTTGGTTTTCACTACTTTGGGCATTATAAAATAAATATATTTCGTAAAAGTGTGATAAATCTCACGGACCGCAAAAATATTGAAGACGAGTCGCGGATTGGCCACCCCATCCTTAAACACAGAGAAAATAATTTATCTTCCCCGCCAACTGATAACTTGAGAATTTCTATTCAAAATACCCTCAACCCTTTCAAAGCACCTTTTCGTCGACGCCAGCAAAATAGCGTTCTATAAAAAAGATGGAGGAGTAAGTCAAGTTCACCTTCTCCCTTCCGTTCCAAGGCTTAAATTCGCGAGGGAATAAATCGGTTAAGATGAGGCAATAAAGTCGACAGTTTTTATATATAATCTACGACTGGATAGGTAAGGAAAGGGCTTTGAATCGGTATTTTATGAGGTTTAAAGCCCAAATCATAGAGGTCATAAAAATAGCCGTCAGTTTAAACTTAACGCCTCAGCTATAAGGTTTGAAAACTCAAATAATGTACTTAAAATAATTTAAGGGGACGACACAAAATATATATTTCTTATAAGCACACTATTTAAAGACATTTTATATTAAATAATTCGTATTTTTTACACCTAATTTGTGCCATTGTATAATATTTTTGAAGAAATGAAATAGATTTACAAGAATGTAAAGTTTTTTCACAACATAAATCTGCATGTCAGTTTCAAAACAATCACAATGTTAGATTCCATCATAAATTAAATTAAAAAAATGTAATATAAAGATTATCTTCTTCTGTGTTTATGTAAAAAAAAATGTGTGCATTAATCTTGCTTGTATATGTTGTTCTTATTAATGACAAATTATGCAGAAGCCTTTTTTTTCCCCCATTTTCTTCTACTATCGAAAAAATAACGTTTTTGTATTTTGTTTAACTAGATCGTTTATATGAATTTTAATTTGAATATTTATGTTCAACCAACCACGTGCTTTGTTCCTTTTCTTATCATCATCAGTGGCGTAACAACCCCATGGTGGATAAGGTCGTTGGAGACAGGAGATGTTTTTCTTTTTACGGAATAGGGTTGTCCTCCCTACACTCTACAGTCATATTATAGACGGAGACCTATAGTTTAAAGTGCATTCTGAACCACTACAAACATCTATGGCACCGCCGGGACTCGAATCCGAAACTTACTACACCACATCAGAGTGCCTAGTGTGGAATTGTCCCTGTACAGTTTGGAGATGATGTGGGTGAGAAGTCTGATTGGGCTCTGTGACTTTCTACAGTCATATGAGACTGTGACCTACAGCTTAAAGTGGATTCCGAATCACTACAAGCGTCCATGGCACCCCTGGGATTCGAAACCGAAACCTGTTGCATCGCGCGGTAGATACTCGGCCTCGGCCAATCAGGTCCCTAAAACGAAACCCGTGACACCAAGCGCTAGTCACTCGGCCATCAGGCCCCAAATACATACAGTGACCAAGATTCGACCCCAGGTTATTGCGACCACAACACAATGTACTAACCACTATACGATCATGGCGACTTTCTTTTATCTATCAATAAAAAAAATTTTAAGTAAAAGTAAAAATCACACGTTACTTAAGTAATAGTTAATTATAATATAAATAAATTAACTGATATTACAAGGTAATTTTGGTTTACAAATAAATTCATTACGCAAAATAATATTAGCGATAATTTCTAAATATTACGAAAATTTCGTAAATGGTCTAAATTAAATGTTTTCATTATAAATAAATAAAAGCCAGACTAAACTAACACAGTGACCAAAATGATTAGCTTAAGCCTATCTTAACTAATCGTTTGTAACATTTTATTTAGACAAGTGTAAGGTTAATAACATCTAAATATATATACAAAATGTGTGTATCCCCGCCTATGCACGGGTTTAATTTACATCCAATTTTCCCTAAAAACTAAAATTGACAGGGATACTTGTAAAACAAAGTCTAGTTCAACTGACAGAAAAGAGAAATTTCGAAATAGGATCAATATTCGTTAAGAGATTACCAAATTAGGTTTTAAGCCAATTTGGAGACTTTCCGTGGTTGGCGAACTTTTGATGGTTGAATTATTTTTCTATGCTGCTGTACTGTTGATAAACATGCCGACGTAAAATAAATAAATAAATTAAACACTGGCCGATAAATTGCAACATACCTAAAATTTTGATTAAAAAAATTTTTACATTGCGATTCTCCCTATAAAAAGTTTTCAGCCAAATTGCAGTTTAGGGGACAGAAAAATTGACTGTGTTGTCGCCAAAAGAAAGAAAATATGTTTTCGACTACTGCTAATAAGGAAGCAGACAGGCAATTTTTCGCTTCTCCCCATTTTAGTAAACTGTTTTAAGTTTTTCAAAATTTGATAGCCATAGGGGCGAGTTTGTAAGGGATGACATTTAATATAGTGGAGAAAGAAAGAATTTATATGGAAGAGTGTTTCGTTGAATTTCACATTGGTTTTTACTGTTAAACTTGCAAAGCCGCCTAAGGAAAAAAAATTATTTAGTTGGACGCTAGAGCTGAAGAAAGCGAAGATGATGTTTTGAACAGACGTGAATCTAAATAAGAGTTAACAAGTTTTATTGTCTGAAGCAATTCAACGCCGGGTTGCAAGTGCTATTATTATATAATTCTGAAATTGGGGAAAAAAACAATTTAAATTTGAATATAATCATTGTATTCAATCACGCAGAAAGAAAAAAAAGGAGAACAAAAATTATATCTCAAATTTGATTACTTTACTCGAATTGACTAATCCTTCTGAAAACAAAAATAGGCTTTTTTTTAGGAAACAATCAGAAAAATAAAAGAACGGTGCTTTTTTTTTCCCCTCCCCAGAAATACTTCAAACGTAATATTTTCAATACATAAGTTTTTTTACGATTGTTTTGTCATTTAAAAATGTTTTATCATACACAATACATTATTAAAAGGGAATGTAAAAAATTTTATAAAGAGACCCAGACATTTTTATTTCACTATTTTATTCTATATTAATTCAAAGCCGGTTAGGATAGATGGTTTTCCCCAATTGCTTATTTACCTGGAATTAATAAAATTCTAAAGCTACTTTCACAGAGACAGCTTACAGTAAGCTATACTACAGTTATTTTCACAAAGAGAACACACAATAAGCTATTTTCAACATGAGTTAATCCCTCAAAGGATCAAAAGGAATAACTAACGTATTGTCCAACGGGGAATTAGAGCATTAATTCTCAATACAGATAACGATGAAAATATTTTATTCTAGAAAGATATGTGGAATTTACATGTAAAAGTTAGTTTACTGTATTTCAATAATTTACTGTATATTTAAATAGATTATTACTGTTATCGGAATGCTTGACAAACTTAAAATGATAAACAAATTTAAAGTAATTTTAGAATTTTAAATAAATATGATTTCCCATAATTTAAAACCGAAAGAATTCGATCTACTACAATTAAAATTGAAACATAATACGATTATCTACAATTTAAAGTTATAATATTTCTATTAAAGTTACAATTTATAATAAATATGACCCATTCAATAGTAATTTATTGCAATTGAAATTATTAATAATTTATTGCAATTTATAATAATATGATCAACTCAATTCATTCAGTATTCTCAATTTTTCATTCATTTATTTATTCCTAATCAATAATAATTAGCAATGAAAACAATACGTATGCTACGTACATATAGCTGATTACACAGCTGAATACAAATTACCCACACAATATATAAATAAATATACAATTTTAAAAAGTCGCGATCAAAAAAAATTATTTATAAACTTGCATGCTTCAAGTCGTGGCATTGCCCATTTACATTGAACTAAATGTGATGCAAAGCGATCATTGAACATATAAATTACGAACATTAGCAACTTACTTTTTCAGCTGACAGTTCTATTTTCCCCGCATACGAGAAAAATTCTTATAATCCACACTAGGTCCGATCGCACTTTGAAAAACCAGTCAAAAGTACAAAAACCAACGGTTGCTACAGCAAAAAAATTCGCATCCCAGCCGCACACGCAAACAACAACGCCAGCAACAATACCTCCACACAAAAAAAAGTAGGCGAAGAGGAAAAACAACAAACACAAAAGCCCGAACTAATAGCAGGTTGTTTTGAACTTTCACTCCACTTTCTTAATGCTGCCGAACCGGCTTCGCACGCATTAAAGCTTGGAATGAGGACATGCTCAAGTCAGCTGTTCCATTGGCTCGCAAAACGGCGAGCGACTCGGTCGCCAAGGCAGTCGCCAAATCAATACATTTTCGCCCAGGCAATCAAATAGAAACGTTCCTATTGCATAATCACAAGAAACAAATGACGAAATGCAGCTGTTGGATGAAAATTAGACAAGATTGGAAATGGAGTAACTATTCATAGAAATGAAAATTCCGACATGCGAAAATGGATAATAATTTTGGATATTTGTATTTCACAATTGTAGCATATCTCAATTTCTGACATGTTTGCTTTTCAGCGACTGTGCACTGTGTTGGATAATATTCAACATTCCAAGAACAGGAATAGGTAGTTACTAATCATATTTCACAATATTAATGTATTATGAAATAGTGAAGAATTAAATTCATAAATGAATTTAAATTCATTTGAAATAATTAATATATTTTTTTTAAAAACTGATTATTTTATTTACGAATATAATCCTTTTTTAAAAAGTCAGTTAAAATTTTTACAAATTAATAATTAATTTTAATAACTTTTAGATTTATCACAGGTTTTGAAAATTCCAAAATTAGAAAACTTATTTATTTCATTTTATTAAAAGAAATAAAAAAAGTTATTAAATAAAGAACATTTTACATTCGATTGTAAAGATTCAAAGTATAATGGAGATAAATTAAGAAATATTGTTTACATCCCTTTTTTTTTTTTTTTTTTTTTTCCCCCGATATCAATAAAATTGTAAAGGATTAAAAAAAATATATCGAAAAGCAAATTTTTGATTTAAAAAAAATAAGATAGTTTTTGAAAAAAAAAAGACAGTTTTTGAAAAAAAAATGCTGCAATTTTCGGAGCGCGAATATTTTTAATTTATTTCTGTAATTAATCTGATGTTGAATTCCAACAATATCGTTTATACTATATGATTATTAATAACATTTATATAAATAATAATAATTCCAATTAGCTGCCATTAAATATAATTTAATATTTCTTAAATATCAATAGATATAATATTTTTGCATAAATTTCAATTATTTCATTACATCTATTTTAAACAAAAAAAAACCCAGCTTCTGTTGTGATAGAGAACCCGTAGGTAGGAATCTGGCTTGGCTCCGTGTCGCTGAAGAAGGAGGGCAGTGCCTTCCGGGGGATTTTAAGGGGGAACTACCCCGCATTTGCGTATCGTATGGGAGAAAATCAGGAAATTCCCAACAGGTAGTCCGACTAACAAGGCAAAATGTTGAGCATCACTAACACCATCGAGCCAAAATCGCCGCCATTGAATTGAACCTCCGCCCTAATGCTCACCAGAAGAGCACGTTACCACTGAGTGCAGCATTCATTTTATAATAATTCCATCAATAAAATCGTTTATAATATTATCGATAAATACTTCATTGATTACGAAATGAAAGTAAATAATTATTTTAAATGGAGTATTTTCTTTCCATACTTATATTTATTTTAAAATTTTATTACTATAATTAAAACTTGACTATTTTGATTTCATAAAAGAAAGTATTTTTATTGTCTATTAATAAAATAATTCACTGATTTTTTGTGAATAGTATTTTTTTCCTTTGAAAATAAACTACTTGGATATACTTGCATTTGTTTGTATCTTGCGTCCCAATATCGTAATACGAATTTCAGTGACTATTTGGCAATACCAGTGAGGAATGCGGATTGCAGTACATTACTACTATACCAATCTTTCATGTTGAAATTTAGTTTCACTTTCATGTATCGAATTTAGATACCGGAAAATGAAAGTTCATCCAGTTATTTCATCTGTTAGTTATCTAGTTGTTATTTCATCGTATAGGAAGTTCATCCCTGTTAGTTCGTCCATTTTGTAATCTCGTTATATACCCAAGAATGGCGTACTTCTACAACAAAAAAAGCATTCCACAAATATAAATGCACTTTATGGTATTTATTTTATATTAAAAAAAATTACGCTATTACTTAAAACAGGTGAACAAATTTTAATTGTGAATATGAATCACTTCAAATTTGTAAAGTTACGTAAACATTAGTATTAGAGAGTTTTTGCATACCGTACGTTAGTTACCGTAGGATGTCCGTTAGCGCAGGACCCTAGTGCGCATGCGCAGTTTCCTATGAGCATGCGCGCTAGGGAGAAAAAGCTAATGGACGTCTTACGGTAACTAACGTACGGTATGCAAAAACTCTCTATTATCGCTCATTTGATGAATTGTAAAATAAAATAAAAAATAACTACAAAACATTTCCAACTTTTGAAGACAATGAACAGACCCAATTAATGAACATATAAAATAACTTAAGCAGATA